CGGCAAAGCGTGTGGAGGGCGACGACCCTGTTCATGGAGCCTGGACTGCGGATGATCCCCAAGACTGGCGTGTTTGGTGCGACGCCTCCAGCATTGCCTACGGTGTCGTGCTCGAAGCTGATGGTACTGTACTCGAAGACCAGTCGTGGCTCCGCGGTGCCACCGATAAACGCCACATCAACGTCGCCGAGCTAGATGCCGTGGTAAAGGGCCTCACTCTCGCGTCGTCTTGGCGTATCCCGAAGTTGTGCATCATGACCGACTCCCAGACGGTGCATGGGTGGCTGCGTTCTCTGTTCGACAACATCAAGCGGGTTCACGTCAGTGGGTTGCACGAAGTCCTCGTGCAACGCCGGCTGCAGGTTATTCTCGATATCGTCGACTCGTCCGGCATGAGTGTTGACGTGGTCTGGGTACCCACACAGCAAAACATTGCTGATCAGCTCACACGTGTCCCACCGCCGTTCCTCCGCTTTGCCCGCCAGACTGCGAAGATGTCTGGCCCGATTGGTGATGCCGATGTCGTTGGCGCCGCTGTCGCTGATGATGCCGCCTGGCGTGTCCTAACCCTGGGCGAGATTGCCGCGGCGCAGCAGCAGGACGAGGTGATTCCGGTTGTCGTCGGGGACCTTGTGGCCGGCCATGCTGTCCGTTCGCCGGCATTCCAGCGTGTTCAGCAGCAATTGACCGTCGTGGATGGCGTGCTGATGCGGAGCGTCAAGCTACCCCCTAACGAGGTCATGTCAGTACCAGTCGTGCCGAATGACATCGAAGAGTTCGTTCTTCGGGGTGCCCATCAACAGACTGGCCACGCCTCCTGGGAGGTCATGTGGCGGTTTCTCCGGGGTGTCTGTTACTTCCCCAACATGGCCGAGAAGTGTCAGGACTTCATCCGCCGCTGTCCCCCCTGTACGGCTGCAAACCCTCGTGGTGGCCCCGGTGTGCCACCGACACGACCTGTCTCCGCCAACGGCCCCTGGAGTGTTGTCTCCATCGATACCTTGGAGCTTGGTGTCAGCCGTTCTGGTTACCGCTACGTACTCGTCTGCATCGACCATTTTACCAAGTGGGTCGAAGTTGTCCCGATGAAGCGCCACTGTTCGGCGGAGGTCGCTGCTGCCATGGTCTCTATCTGCTCACGATGGGGCGCGCCTGAGGTTGTGCGTAGCGATAATGGCACTGAGTTCGTCAATGCCATTGTGTCAGCCCTGTTCAAGTCCTTTGGCGTCACGGTCCAGCGGGGCGCTGTTCGACATTCCCAGTCACAAGGTTCTGTGGAACGTTTCAACCGGACGCTGTTGACGATCATCCGCAAGACGCTCGAGGATGATGACGACTGGGAGACTGCCCTCGAGCTTCTGTTGTTCCACTACCGTTCTCGCCCGCACACCGCTACGAAGATTAGCCCGATGGAAGCCATGCACGGCTGGCAGCCTCACCGTCTTCTCATCGAACAAGATTCCACTGAACTGTCCGACAGCGCCTGGGTGGACAAGTTGCAGCGGAAGTCTGCCCGCCTGCGCGATCACCTCGAAGTTGAGCTAGCACGGCTTGACTTCCTCGATGCTCCCGTGCCCGAGTGTCCATACCCCGTTGACACTGCCGTCCTTCTTCGGCGTCCGGAGCGGCATTCGAAGATTCTCACCCCCTTCGAATCTGGATGGCACGTAATCCGCATCATCTCCCCGTCGACAGTCCGTATTGCCACAGCTGATGGTCGCTCCAAGCTGGTGAACGTGGATTTGCTGAAGAGAGATCCACAGGCTCCTGATGCGCATGGCCCTGCCGACGCGCCGGCGGCAGTGGAGGCTGACGACCGGGACCCCGTTGTCCAGCTCGTGTTGCAGACGCCCCCCGTACATGGTGCCATGCCTGACACGCCCGTCCATGGCTATGGTTTGCGCGACCGTTCCAGTCCGCAGGTCCCTGGTCGGTTCCGTACGTAACTCACACCGTTGTGTTCATTTACTGCAGTTTCTTGCTGGTTATTCTGGCCTTTCCCGCATCCATATGACATGCCTTGTAGAGTCCTATTACCACTGTGTGTGTGTCTCTAGTTTTGGTGCAAAATCTGTTTTGTCCAATGCCGCTCGCTCGTTAGTCTCCGTTTCCTCTTCCATGTACTGCATGTGTCATTCTGGACTTTTTCGTGTGACGGTACATTGCACCATATGCTTTGTGGCTGCTCGTGCCGCATCTATTCTGGTTGCGTGGGTATTCTCTTTTCTATTCGGTTCCGGTATGGTTGCCCTTCACTTGCTGTTTGCCATCTTTTATGTATATCCGTGTGTATGGTCCATCTGCGAGACCGTTGTCTTCTTTCCCGCATTTTGTGTCCCTTCTTTCCACTTTTGTCCCCTTGGAATGTTTCTTTGCCCGTTCACTTTGGTGATACAATTTCCCTGTTACCAGGCGGAGGAGTGTGATAGAGTGGTCCCATGGTAACAGGACTTGGCCAAGCATGCGCATGCTCCAAAGTTGTTGCGCAATGATGTAGTGCCTGTTGTTGTGTTGAGCCCGATTTTGATGGCGGCTGGTATGTAGTCTTTTCCTTTTTGTACTTCCCGTTTCATGTTTGTTCAGTCCTAATAATTATAATATTCCCGTCCTATCCGGTTGTGTTGCTGTGGAGTCCGGGAGGAGAGTTTTCAGTCACATGTGTGTGTGTGTGTGTGTATGTGTGTGTGTGTGTGTGTGTGTGTGTGTGTGTATGTGTGTGTGTGTGTGTGTGTGTGTGTGTGTGTGTGTGTGTGTGTGTGTGTGTGTGTGTGTGTGTGTGTGTATGTGCGATCTTGCAGTTGTTGGCTGAGTCGGAACTCCCAGAGTCCCAGAGCGGCTTTCGGCCAGGCAGGGGCTGTGTTGATGCCATCTTCTCGCTCCGCCAGCTAATCGAGAAAGCATACGAACATCGTCAGCAGCTCTTCTGTGTGTTTGTGGATTTGAAAAAGGCGTACGATTCTGTACCACGCGCTGCTCTCTGGGTGGCCTTGGGCCGACTTGGGGTCCCGCAACAGCTAGTGGCCCTGATTAAGGCTTTCCACACCTCTACCTCTGCCTCGGTCCGAGTTGGCAACTCCACCTCTGATGAGTTCCCTGTGGTTAATGGTCTCCGACAAGGATGTGTCATGGCACCCGTTCTCTTTAACCTGTACTTCGGGGCGGTTGTTGAGACATGGCGTGCCCGGCTAAAGGATGCAGGTCGTAGTCACTCTGTCAGCATCCAGTTTTCCATCGATGGCCAACTCTACCCCCGCTCATCATCGCGCAGGGCTGGCGAGTCACTGTCTGTTAGTGACCTGGAGTATGCTGATGATGCCGTTCTCGTGTCTGAATGCCGTAGTGATGCTGAGTTTGGTGTGGAGCTCTTCTGTAGTGTTGCCCGAGAATTTGGACTAACTGTGAGCATCGCCAAGACGAAGATCATGACGGCGGGCCATGGGGTCTCTGCTGAAGACTCGGCTGACATCGTTCTCCCCCTTGGCACTATCGAAGCCGTGCCGAGGTTCACCTACCTAGGATCCATAGTGACCCCTGACAGTCGTTCTTCATCCGACATCAAGCGCCGTATTGCCGAAGCCTCAAAGGCCTTCGGAGCCCTCCAGAAGGTATTCACTGACAGATCTCTGTCCCTCTCTAGTAAACGCCACCTGTACATGGCCTGCGTTTCCTCAATATTACTGTATGGCGGAGAGTGTTGGACCCCACTCCAACGGGATATCAGAAGTTTGGATAAATTCCACCATCAATGCACCCGGACTGTCCTCAGCATCACCAAGCCTCGTCAGTGGTCCGAGCGGCTGTCATCCACAGACCTGCGGAACCGTTGGGGAGACCCAGTACTGATGTCTACACGCCTCCGCAATCGGCGTCTGGAATGGACTGGGCACGTTGCGCGTATGGATGAGGATCACACCCCCCTCCAACTCCTCTTTGGGTGGCTACCTGTGCCTCGGCCGTTTTGTGGTCCCCGGCGACGGTGGAAAGACACGGTGATGACCGACCTCAAGGTTGCACTGCAACAGCCATCTCAGTGGTTCATCCTTGCTCAGGACCGCCAACAGTGGAGGGAAGTACGGGTTGCCCCTCAGTCGAGCTCCACCATGCCCAAGTCTGTGCATTGCGCAGTGTGTGACCGGAACTTCTCACGGGTCTCAGATAGGACGCGGCACAAGTGCACCACTCAGAGACGGCTTCCCATCCAGCTCCAACGTGGATCAGTGCAATGCCAGAACTGCCAGAGGTGGATCCGCAGCAAGGGTGGCTACTCTGTTCATCGATGCCAGCCTGTCACGAGTTCTCCTACACCAACAGTCAGTCTGTCTGTGCCACTTTCAGCTTGTTGCCAGCAGCACTGCCCAACATGTCAGCGATGCTTCCGTTCTGCGGCCGGGTTCAAGCGTCACAACTGCAATCGTGGTGCGAGACCATCTGCTGCTGAGAGAGCAGCTCTGCCCCTCAGCTGCCCACGTTGTAAACGCAATTTCCGCCGGCAGCAGGACCTAGCCAGACATTCGCGGTCCTGCTTGTGATCCGTGTCCCGTTTTCTGGTCCCCTTTCCATAGGGGTGACACTTGCCCCTCTGGGCAGTCATGCTGCTAGTAGTAGTAGTAGTAGTGTGTATGTGTGTGTGTGTGTGTGTGTGTGTGTGTGTGTGTGTGTGTGTGTGTATGTGTGTGTGTGTGTGTGTGTGTGTGTGTATGTGTGTGTGTGTGTGTGTGTGTGTGTATGTATGTGTGTGTGTGTGTGTGTGTGTGTATGTGTGTGTGTGTGTGTGTGTGTGTGTGTGTGTGTGTGTATGTGTGTGTGTGTGTGTGTGTGTGTGTGTGTGTGTGTGTGTGTGTGTATGTGTGTGTGTGTGTGTGTGTGTGTGTGTGTGTGTGTGTGTGTGTGTGTGTGTGTGTGTGTGTGTGTGTGTGTGTGTGTGTGTGTGTGTGTGTGTGTGTGTGTGTGTGTGTGTGTGTGTGTGTGTGTGTGTGTGTGTGTGTGTGTGTGAGACCTACCTGTACAGGACGATGGCCACGGCGTCGTTCATCACACTCTCGCCAAACACAATGGCAAACAGGTCGACGTCGACGTGAAGGTCATGGAATATGGCCAAGACGGTCACTGTAGTTGTCACACACACACACGTACACACGTACACACACACACACACACACGCATGCACACACACACATACACACACACACACACACACACACACACGCAAACACACACACACGCGCACACACACGCACACACACACACACACGCAAACACACACACACGCACACGCGCACACACACACACACACACACACACACACACACACACACACACACACACATACATACACAAGATAAGATATTGAACAGCAACAAAGAAGCAGACCAAAACAAAGGTTTCAGCACTACTTGACTGACTGGATATAGAAATGGATCTGTGACGATATGTAATAACAACCATGGTAGATATGAAGTTGATTGCTCTAAGTTCGTAACCATGGTAGATATGAAGTTGATTGCTCTAAGTTCGTAACCATGGTAGACATGAAGTTGATTGCTCTAAGTTCGTAACCATGGTAGATATGAAGTTGATTGCTCTAAGTTCGTAACCATGGTAGATATGAAGTTGATTGCTCTAAGTTCGTAACCATGGTAGATATGAAGTTGATTGCTCTAAGTTCGTAACCATGGTAGATATGAAGTTGATTGCTCTAAGTTCGTAACCATGGTAGATATGAAGTTGATTGCTCTAAGTTCGTAACCATGGTAGATGTGGACAATAAAACATATAGCATGAAAACCACAGTTGCATACAACACTGGGCTAGGAAAGATTAAAGCGGGATTCACAGAAGCTTGTTTGCGATGCGATGGGCGATGCGACGCGATCTGCGACGGCGGTGTGCGATGCAACCTCGCGAAATACCATTCACAGAAGAAGTCAGCGATGCGACAACACCTTGCTGATTTGGCGCGAAGTCCAATGCAGGTGGGTACGTCACCATGGTATTCGCGTGGCTTTGTACAACTTGTACACATCTACAAGCAATTCTTGAACCTTTGTACAACTTTGCTGCAGGAAAGGTCAAAATCGTACACCATAATTATCGCTTGTCGCATTGCAAAAGTTTAGCCAAGCTCAACATCTACGATGGCCCAGTTGCGACAGTTGCGTGAGCTGCGAGATGGATGCGATTTGGGGGTTTCCCCGGTTTCGCGGCCGTCGCATCGCATCGCAAAAATGCTTCTGTGAATCCTGCTTGAGGTTGGTGGTATGACTTACTTAAGTAGCGCCATGTATTGCCAACATAGTCCACAGCACACAACTATATCCGGATATGATTTTGTATACCGTATTTCCTCAAATAAAAGACCGTCCTCGTATACAATGCCTTCCTCGAATACAAAGCCGGGGCAGGGGCGATTGAAAAAATACAAGACCGTCTCCGATTAGAAGACCGGGCCTACTAAATGAGTCTTACGACTGCGCATGCGCAGTGCGACGGCTGCCATTTTGTACAAAACTGCAACTACACGTGGCATGTGTGGCACATCTTCCGGTTTCTTGTGATTCCGCCATCACGCTCTGCCAGTTCTTGTACATCTTCCGGTTTCTTGTGATTCCGCCATCACGCTCTGCCAGTTCTTGTAGCCTTTCCTTTCGACCATGGCCAGCAATAAGCGAAAGAAATACTCTTGTGCTTCAAAATATCTGCTGTGGATTTGGCAAAGAGGACGAGTATCACCAGCGCAGCGGAGAAGCTCAAGGTGACTCGGGCTATGATTCGGCAGTGGAAAAAAGACGAGACTTTGCTGAAACTTTACTGAAAGAAGCTGGAAGAACGGGGGTAAAACTGGGCGGCGAAAAATAGAAGACCGGGGTCGAACTGAGTTGAAAGAATAAAAGACCGTCCTCGAATACAAAACCATCCTCAATTATAAGGCCGGGTTAGGACGAGTTTGAAGAAATAGTAGACCGGCCTACTATTTGCGGAAATACGGTATTAAAATGTATTGCCACAAGGTATCCACAGCACACCCGCACTTTACCTGGATCCGTTGCAGAGATGAGAGCTCCGAAGATCAAACACTGGACAAGATTGTCGACACCGCGCGGCAGGGTCTCAATGCCAAACTGAGTGTAGGCATACATCATAGAGCTGCACACATGTACGTAGGAGAAGCAAACGTATTGTCCGGACAGAAAAACAAGCATCGGACACTCTCACCGTAGGCATGTGTGCAACAACCTACTTCACAACCACAACTACTACTACAACTGCAAGTACCACTACTACTACTACAAGTATATCTTGAGTTCTTTCATATTTACATTGGCTATTTGCCTCGGATGGTTCTTCACTTTCTGTATCACGTTTTGTGGATTGAACATTAAAGATGACTCGTTATATCTTTAGTTCTTGGCAATAGCTTCCCAACCTGGTGGACAGTTTGACACTGCATATACCTACTGCCTATCGCATCCGCACGCAGACTGTGTGCTATAGTCAGCTTAGAAATTTTGGAGGCCAAAAAGAACCCATGGCACATGTTCAATAAGTATGGAGGATAAGAGACAAATGACTAAACTTCCACCAAGACTTCCATTCTTACCCAATAGTGAAGCAGGAGATGGTCGTTCCAACAAAGGCGTACAGCAGGATGGCTCCGATGTTGCGGAAGAAGTATTTCTGCCGAGCATCCACATGCACAGGGATTGAAAATGCATCGCAATGTCAAAGCTCAGCATTTACAGACAGACCAACCAATTCAGATGTTCGGTGACTTCCGTCACCCGTTGCGGCGTTTTGCATTGAAAACCATTGCAAGCACTGATTTGCAATACACGTACTTGAAGTAGACAGTACAATGCATGCACGACAATGTCACCCAGGAGACCTCCATACTGATGTACAAGTAGCATACAGGATATGTCTGTGACATACTGCGGGTTACCCGGGTCACATGATCAGTCATGTGACATGATGAGCTACCTGGATTCTCTGACCCCAAGCAGGCCTGCCGGAACCGGTCCGGTTGGTCAGGTTATTACCGGACCAGCTTTTCCGCCACTAACACATGTTTCCTACTGTGGAGGGCATGTGTACCCACCATATCATACACAAAGTATGAACGGCCTTGATACTACCGGACCAATCAAACACTGCTTCCGGCGGTCCTGCCAAGTGAATGTAGTAGAACAATATGGCGGTTGGCATCGCTGCACTTACGCGTTGCAGGTCATAGCCAGCATAGAAGATGATCGGTGGCAGCAGGACAAAGAAGAACATCTCCGGGTTGAACAAGAGCTGCATGCCGCGGTAGATACAACAAGAGAACAGGTCACATGTCACACACAGTGATGGGTTACTTGGATGGCATGCGTCTAAGAGCTGCAATAGCAAATGAAGAAGCCAACATGACTGGTGAGATTGCCATTGCACAGTACAGTGTACTTCCTCTGCCCAGGCAAAATTTTCGCTTATCTCCTTCAGCCCAATGTCAGGTGTCTGACAGCAATTTTTACAGCTTGTGCACTTCACCATCACACAAATCTGCTGGTTCAGGCGTACCAGTTCCACACAAGTCGTCGAAGTCGGCAAAGAGCAAAGAAACACCTAGAGTAGAGCGCGTTGAAGGCGAGTGAACTGGTAAAAAACACGAAGTCAGCCACTTGTAAAGGTGGGTGCTGCTAGAGTACCATTGGAGTACGGAGCAGAGGTGTCATGTTGCGAAAAGCCAGCGTGTTTGATTGCATCCGGCACAAGATGTGTGTACGGTAAGAATGCACGTGTGCTTGAAGCTGAAAAAGCCACTCAGCGACGCTCGCCCACATACTGCAAATCTGAACCAGAACCGGCACTGGGCAAAACAGGGGGGAAAGAAAGGCTTCGATGACAGGGTTGTCACTCACCCATCTCATTCACCTGATGTCAAAGTGAACGATCCTGAAAAGCGACGCTGAGCTCGTCAGCTTCGGCTGGTAAGAAACACGACCGATCGTACTCATGAAGGAGGTGAAGCGCTTGGAAAAGTGTCGATACGAAATATTTGCGCTTCTGGAAAGTGCGAAGTACTACCCGACAACAAGTGCTGCGTCGGGTGATGAGAAAGGATGACTTCTACATTTTTCGACTTGGATAGTTTCTCTTGATGTTCAACGACTCCTCAACTCATTCTGAGTTGTTATAAGCCGTTCTGAGACCCTGGAATGTATCAGTTAAAAGTGCAAAGATAAGCGAAAATTTTGCTTGGGCGGAAGAAGTACCTGCAAAGCTGCTACCATTCACCAGAAGTTCCTACTTCTGGTTGGCAGCCTCCCCCCCCCCCCCCCCCCCCCCCCCCAGCTAATCAATTACATAATATATGCAAGCCTGATTTCCAAGATACACCGTTGGCACATAAGCCTAGTTATAGTGTTGAGTCCCTGTTGACATAATAGTAGAAATATCCCAGTTTGAATAGAAGCCTAGCCCTGACATCGGCTTCTACAGGAAAAAGGCCAGCTATAATACACAACTAATTACCGCTGAAGTCGCAACATCTTGGTCTAATACACAATATAACGGTAAAGCACACATAAGCGGTGTCACAACAAGCGGCGGCGAACACCTCTTACCAGTCCTTCATATTCTGTTCCCTCGTCATCCTTGAACAACTTGTTGCGCAGGTCAAAGGCGTACGTGTCATTCTCGACGGACAGGAAGACTTGGCGCGGCGGGTGCGTATAGTTGGACTCGCAAGTCATCGGCTCTACCGACACCTCATCGCCAGCATAGCGCATGATCAAACCAATGATGATACCTGGAACGGCAAAGCATGTCACCAACACAACTCAGTATGTTCCAACTGCGCACTAACCTACAATATACGCCATGAATAAAGTACTCACTGGTTGGAGGGAAAGGATGCAAAGTGACTGATTACTTTAAGTACTGTAAAAGCCTTACATAACGAAGCATCCTTCCCTCAAACCAGTGAATATATATAATGAAGAGCTAATTCTACCGAGTTAACAAGGAGAAATCCGAGTATGGTTAAAAATGGAAAATGTTATACAGAAATCGATACATATAAATGTAGTGTTGCAAGTGAGCGTTGAGAATGAGTGAGAACCGTTACCTTTGCGCAAACAGGTCAGTTTTAGGAAATGGTTATGTTTGCGGCTCCTTAGAATAATGGCTTTTACAGTCCTAGCAAGAGTACATAAACCAGAATGTGCAACTCAGGGAGCGTAATCCGTGCAGTACGTCATTTCTGACAGCATGGTAAGCCACAGGTACGGTGAAAAGTTGCGTAACCAGTCACGGTGGCGCAGGACGCCGAGTTTGTCCGGATTTCGGTTTTTGATACAGATAGCCTGGTGAATTTGCTTGCCAGCGCATGTACGCGGCGTAGGTCTACGCAGTCACACAAAAACACCGAAATCCTAAAACAGGACGTCAAAAATCATGCAAACTTGGCTGATTTCCGGGCTGTGAAACACGAAAACTTGAGCTGTACGCAAGCCGCAGCTTGGCTGACCTCATCAAGGTGACGTAGTGCACGAACTCTGCTGTTTTAGATCTGATATGCACAGTTGCACACTCTGGTTTATGTACTCTTCGTACTAGTAATTGATATGATTTCGCAGTGTAGTGTTCATACAGTACAGCATGGAGCTGCACTACATTTGGCTATTGCTATGAGAACTGGGACGGAAAATACACCCATGCGAGGGGCTTTGCATCACGGTCACTTTACAGCAGGAGGAATGGTATGGCATGGCACCATACTAGAGAGCGTGTGAGGACAGGCGTGTATTTACCGCCATATCGCCAGGTGTGTTTTTACCACCATTTGAATCAACCATAAGTTCTGCTGCACTGGTGCCTTCAACTTCATTCTGACATCATACTACTTTTTAAAAAAAGCGGAAAACAAGATGTGCCTCGACAGCGGATTTGGAAGATCTACTTCAAAGCACGCGTTCCGTGGTCTTTCCCAAATACGGTGCGATTATAGTACCGTGGTGGCCTACTGACTCCCAATGTGGCCCAGACCAGCAATAGCCCACATCGCCCTACTACAAATATGTTGGTCTATGCGGACGTGCATAGGCAATCTCGTGAACACGACCCTGGATGGTGCATGAGAAAAGTGGTGTTGCTCCGGCGTGCTGTCAGTTATCCATGTGGGTAACAGGATGCACTGTCAAATCGTCACCAGCCAGTCCTGTGATTGTGTAGATATTCGCTAGTTGTTGTTGTTGATACCCGAGGTCGCAATTCATGAGGTTGACCATGTAAATCAGCCCTGCACCGAGGGGCTGACTCAATGGGTAGTCCACAAGCAAGACCCACATTGCTTCATTTCCTACTCACCTACAAGTACAGTCCTGCTCAATGAAATCCAGTCCGCGGCGAGAGTCAAGTTGGCGCCGTGCACCTTTTCGCAGCCCAGTGTTCGCAGGTCTAGGGCTGCACAACGCCCGGCGTGCACTTGAAAAATTCGACTGGATTTCATTGAGCAATGCTGTACATAGTCTCCCTGCATACTACTACCACTCACTGGCCAGCACTATTAGTAGTCAGAATCGGCAGATCTACTGAAGTAAGTTAAAGGGGAAGTTAAGGCAAAAATTAAAATTTCACCAGTTGTAGTCTTCGGGGTGCTGAGTCGAATGGTCTTGGTCCGAGAAAGCTGAGACGCTCCCTTCCTACTTGAATCCCAATCGAACTCGCGCACTTCCACCGAAACTGGGTGACTGCGCCCTACTGGATGGGGATTTGTATGCAAAATGTCACTAAAAGCGCCATTTCGTTCTTATAAAAGCACGGATGACCGCGATTGGCCCATATGTTGTAGTCTTTTGGACGCTGAGTCGACTGGTTTTGGTCCGAAAAGGCTGCGATGCAGCGTTCCTCCTTTATTCCCAATCGAACATGGTTGAAGAAGCGGTCACGTGCTCCTGCGTACACCAGTCACCTGGTCACCGTGCCTGCAGGGTACAACTTACTAGCTTGTTTGACCTTTTTTGGGTGCAGTCCTTTCACTCGAGTTGAACTCGAGTTGAACCTTGGTGTGAAAGTTGTCGCCTGCTGGCGTGGTGACCAGGTGATTTGGGCACCCAGGAGCACGTGACCACTTGTTTAACCATGTTCGATTGGGAATAAAGGAGGAACGCTGCATCGCAGCCTTTTCGGACCAAAACCAGTCGACTCAGCGTCCAAAAGACTACAACTTATGGGCCAATCGCGGTCATCCGTGCTTTTATAAGAACGAAATGGCGCTTTTAGTGACATTTTGCATACAAATCCCCATCTAGTAGGGCGCAGTCACCCAGTTTCAGTGGAAGTGCGCGAGTTCGATTGGGATTCAAGTAGGAAGGGAGCGTCTCAGCCTTCTCGGACCAAGACCATTCGACTCAGCACCCCGAAGACTACAACTGGTGAAATTTTAATTTTTGCCTTAACTTCCCCTTTAATTAGCAACGCTTTCTGCATTCAGCATCTATCCGGGCGTGGTGTGTGCAGCCAGTGTGGAGTTAGACCACAGTGCCGACATGCAGGTGCTGGATTTTACGACCATGTCTACATGTATTATCATGTTGTTAGATTGACAGCATGAAACAAGGTGGAGGACACAGTGTTTGGAAACAGTGACCTTGCTACAACCATCCACGGTTGGTAGATCCCAGGTCTGTTGAGACCATCTGAACCGTACGGGTGTTACACACGGTTCGGACCCGCATTATGCTAGGGTAGTTTATCTAGTGCCATGTATTATCATGTATACACACAATACGAGTGAGCGGCACTGAGGGGACATTGGGGTCACGGGTGGCCAAAACGTGTCATAACAACAAGCAGTCTTTATTGCCACTGATAACGACCATGCTAACACCAACTCACCGTATACGATTGAGAAACCCGTTTCGTGCATAACACGACAGCGCTTCATCTTGAACACCCAGATTGTCAGCACGACAAGCATGAGAAGAGCGACGGCCAGCAACAGACTCAAACTGTTCTTCTGATGTTTCTCCTCCAGCTCCTCTTCCACCAGGCCTTCCCAGTGCAATGCGTGGAGAAGAGAGTCCTCCTTCTCCTCGCCACCTTTTCCCTCATCTCCCTCGCCAGCTGATTCGCCGCTGCTGCCGCTGCCACTACCTACTTCCTCGCCACTGCCACCGCCACTGGTTGTGTTATAGTCCCATGATCGGATCGCATCTCCGCTCTGGTCCTGCGCTAAAACTAGATCGCTGTAGAAGGTGATGTGAAACAGCATAAGCAGCAGCAGCGCTTTGCTGCAACATTTCCAAACCGCCATGCTGCTGTGTGCCACCAGGGGTTTCCAATACGGACAGAACCTAACGACAAACTACGAGAAGCTAGCTGCTAAGAGAGAACACGAAACTAGCTGAAGAATGTGTTGGTCAGTGTATCATTGGTAATGGCGTTGTGCCGATTTCAGTTTGCCCGTCGTGTTCCCTGCCAGCCGCGACGGATCCTGGTCGTGCAGCAGAGAAAGTGGAACGCCGGTGCTAAGTGTGACTGACTCGCTGACTATGGCAACCAGCATGCGGAAGTCGACAACAAGAGGTGCGCGCGCTAGTAGTACTACAGTATACCATGATACTGAGTATGTGTTACGGCGCGCACCAGCCTCCGTGCGCGTGCGAGTGCAGAACGGTCGATCGACCTGTGAAAAATGGTTCACGTGTGTGAACCTCAAAGTCCCGATCGGAGTCATGAGCGCGATATGCTCGGTTGAACCCGCGCGCACCCCGAAAGCGTTGTGCATATTCACTTCGCGTGCGATGTCTGCGGTCGACCGATGAGTGCCGAGTGTGTATTCTGACTGTGTACCAGTCCATGGTGCGCGTGCAAGCGATCCTTTGCCCCGTTGCAGACTCTTGACTTGTGGAGTTGGAGTCCACTCATTGATGAGTCTGGGTCGTTTCGCTGCATCTGCTTTACGCCAGTAGTCTACAACAAGGCTGCAATGACTATGTACAATCATAGGCTACGTCCTGCTGGCGTGCTGCGCTTTGTATGTTCTACCACCGCTGAGGCACATCCAATCGTTGAGGAGGCTTTTTACTGCTTCCGATCACTCGCCCACCATTGGCTGGGTCAGGGAAGGTTCCCACGCCACAACTAACTGTTACTTACTTTGCTGAAAGAAAATTACTACTACGGTACTACTACTAGTACTAGTACTGGATGTTGTGTCTAGGTCTGCCTAGGAGTTACTTTCTAGCGTCACTGGTCACCAAGAACGAAGAAGGAAGGCTATGGCCCAGTTTGGGATAGTCGCTTGGCCCTTGAAGGGCACTCGTGTCGTTATGATGCATGACCCCGACACGTACACGCGATATCGTCTGTGATTCCCTGGTACTGTGGGCCATGGGAGGACATGGTCTCAGCGCTGAACATCGACCTGTCACTGTGTCAGCAGCACGCAGTCGTGGAATACCTGAACAGCATGGCCATGGCATGGGTGAAGCAGTTCCCCGAACGCCTACCGACCGTGTCCAATCTGTCACTGCTTGGTATGCAGAGATATCAGTGAGTGCCATGGCTTCAATCAGGGAATCGTAAAACTGAAAGGGTTTTCAAGACTCCCTGGCTTCAATTGTTTGTTATTCGGTCATTACAGACCAACATGGGCAATCAATTATTCGGTCATTAAAAAAATAGTGGTCAAATGGTTACCCAGGGGGGGGGGGGCGCTATCGGGGTCGGGTACCCCCCCCCCCCCCCCCCATAACTTACATGTATAAGCCTGCGTATGCATTATTCCACCACAATCACACTGCACTCAGAGTCAAACCCAGGTCTGGGCTTGTCTACAGCAGTACAGGGTATGCTCAGTCAACTGATAATAGTATACCATAATCAGTATGAGTTCAGTGTCATCAATGTACAGTCTGACGCTTGTACAACTCACACGAAATCAGGTAAATCTACCTCTCACTGGCTGGTATTTTGAATGAAAAACGTGTGCCAAGCAAGAACAACTGGCTAGACACTACATGATATTATTATAACAATATTGCTTACTATTGTGTGCAAGTCATAGTGAAAGATTGATGGGTGACCTCAGCTATGGTGCTGCGAATTTGTGTACTGTACACGCCCTACTGTAGACAGTAGTGTAGGCCGCAGTGAGCCAGGTACCATGGAGTGCATGTACGACTCTGCACTCAGTAGCCCAGCAATCCTCTATAATCATGGTCACAGCGCTATATGTGGTCATTTGGGTAGCAACTCTCTCTCCCTCTCTCTCTGTCTGTGTGTGTATGTGTGTGCGTGTAAAATAGGGATTCACTGGCCAGAAAAAGTCACTTCAATCAGCTGTGTGGTGGATACCAGGCTAAAAATAGTGGCGGTCAATTCATCAGCCTTGCAAGCTGTTGAATGGTGTAATCCCAGCACAAGTTGCTATGTCTAACATAGCTGTTCGCTATCATCGCTTCCACGATGGGCAGGTCTGAGGTCTGAGGTGTGTGTGTGCGTGTATGTGTGTGTGTGTGTGTGTGTGTGTGTGTGTGTGTGTGTGTGTGTGTGTGTGTGTGTGTGTGTGTGTGTGTGTGTGGGTGGGTGTCTGTGTTGCTATGTCTAACATAGCCGTTCGCTATTATCGCTTCCGCGATGAGCATGTCTGAGGTCTGAGGTCTGAGGTGTGTGTGTGTGTGTGTGTGTGTGTGTGTGTGTGTGTGTGTGTGTGTGTGTGTGTATCTGTCTCTGTCTCTCTCTGTCTCGGTCTCTATCTCTCTCTGTCTCTTTCTCTCTCTCTCTCTCTCTGTCTCATGCACTGTAGTTCATGTGGATTGTACACAGTGTAAAATTGGACCCGCAGTGCTCGTTGCTGCAAGGCCAGCGCCCCGTGGCCGCTTGGCTTCTCAACAGATCTCAATGTCCGCTACAATAGAGAAGAATAGTGTGGAGGTCACACCAAGGTGTCCGCGGAGCCAGAATACAAGCAAGACGGTTACGAGGGTGCACAGTATTGAACCAGAAGGGGAAATCCGAAAACAACGAGGAAGTGCGTATGGCCAATACATGCCACATAAGGACGCGACAATATGTGCAAAACAAAACCAAAAAACTCACACGAACTCGCACAAGTCCATAAAATATGACTCCTGAATGATCCAGTATAGAGAGTATTGATCATGAACCCCTGAATAGAGATGGTGACCTTCACTACGGAGGATTAGCAAGACGAAATTCGCGTTCGCACTCCAAGGAACGTCGAACTCAGTGACGAAACTCGCGTTATGAGAAGGATTAGCAAACAGAATTCGCACATGCATGACTTTGACACGATGTACATTGTGTACAGACAGTACAGCATAGTACATTTATGACTGTCCTGACACGGATCCGCGATTCGTATTTCGACTACTTTTCCAAACGAAAAATCGCGAACTGAAAAATGTTTGCGAACGCGAACGCGAATTTCGTCTTGCTAATCCTCCGTTATATAGATCCGTGGCCATGATATGGTCATGACTCTATAACATATATACCAGAGGACGAATCCGTATGCATTTGGTCACTTCCAAGAATAGATTTTTGGCTGGAGGAAAGCAAATCAGCACACGAAGCACAGAAGCCATATAATTTCGACTAGGCCTTTCATTCCATTACTCTTCAAGTCGAATACATTGGTGATTAACAAGGTAGCAAGCAAGTCCTTATAACCGGCACTTTGGCGGTCAGAGCATTGACAAAAATAGCACTTGAAAAATAGCGCTAGTGGCACCAACAACATATTTGGCGGTCAGAGCATAGACCAAATAGCACTTTAAAAGATAGCGCTAGTGGCGCTAACTACACAGTGAGACAATGAATATTGCCAGTGTCAAAACAGTGACAACTTTCGCACATACTTCTTTTGCATGCACAGTTCAGGCTTCAGCTTGGCAATGTACACTGCCTCCAGCACAGCAAGGTGAGATTTGTTGCGCGCACGCGCTTGAATCGTGAAGTAAGAGTGGGTGCCATGTTTGCAGACTGCACTTAGGCAGACTGGTGACGATGCTCTGACCGCCAAAGTGCTGGTTACAAGGACTTGCTCGCTACCTTGTTAATCACCATTACGAAAGGCCTAGTCGAAATTATATGGCTTCTGTGCTTCGTATGCATTCAGTCACTACCAAGAGTACATGACCCCCGAGAGTGTGCAACTCCCGCATGCAGTGCTGTCCGGACAGAATTTCAGAAACACATGATGCTACGTGTGGTGTGCACGTATTGCCAGGTGCATACTGGACGTGTACGCCGCACATTGCATCATGCAAAGGAGGCCAAATTGAACTTCTGCCGAGCCTGGGACAGCACTGATACAGTACAGGAGCTGCACAATCATGGGGGCCTGTGTGCTTTGGCTACTAAGTACTAGTAATGCAGTACATATCAGGGACGTCGGAAGGTATTTTAGTGTGGTACGGTCAGCCATCCGAAGTACAGTTTCCTCGTGTGGGGGGGGGGGGGAGGGATGGCTGAGCTGAAAATTTTGGAAATTTAGAGTCCAGATCAGTGTATTTTATTGATTCACGGGGTACCTGGGGCAAAAAGTGGTACGGTCAATACCGTAGTGACCGTACCGTGTCCGATGCCCTGCATATACATGTAAAGTCAGTAGAGTGTTGCTCAACAAAACCCGATCAAGTGAGTCAGTGCTGTGCACTGCACCAGTGAACATCCCAGTGTTCACACTCACAGGTCTGCACAGGGCCTGGCACGGCGTGCTAAAGTCGCGCAATCGGTCCCATTCGGATTCTCATTGAGCAGCAGTATTACTGTAGATGTACTGTGAAGACTGCAAGAGTATGGGGTGATAAATATTGATCTTGGCAGTTCTAGCGCTTCAATCACCATGGTCATCTGCTTGACAGCAAGGAAGGGAATAGGGGAGAGGTCTCAAGACAGGAAGGTCCAGCAAGGGACACCCATGACCGGCAGGGCAGGTCCGGTTTCAAGGCAACAGGGGCGTTGGACATGCTACGGTCACTACGGTATTGACCATACCACTCTTCGTCCCGGGTAGCTTGTGAATCAATAAAAAAGCACGGATCTGGAATCTTATTTTCGAAATTCTGTCAGAGGAGCCACCTCAACCCCACGAGCAAATATTAATTGTACTTCCGGTGGCTCGCCATGGCTGACAGTACCACCCTAACTACTTTGTGACACCCCTGGGCAAGCTTCTGCTTAACATGAACACAAGTACTGGAAACAAATTTTCGGTGTATTTTTATTTTCGGTACTTTCGGTGCATCTGCTTCATACCTAAAATTTCAATACACCGCCCAAACACTAACAACACACACAATCCAATAGGGACCTGCTTCTCTGTACCCACATTTTCTGTTCACCTATCCTGACCTTTTGCCCTCATACCGAAAATATTGAGCACCTAAATGTTCTGAAATTAGAGTACACGGTACGTACCGTTCCATCCATGCACAGGGGACTACTAGCACATGTAATTTTCCAGGCTCAACTGCGGCGACCAAATAGGTAGTGTATGCCTTGG